AGGGACCAAGAAGTATCTGAGGCTTGACTCCCCTCCTCTGTCTCTTCACCGGCCGCAGGAGGAGCAGCAGCGGCTGGCCGAGCTCTCCAAGTCCAACAAGCAGAAGCTATTCTTCGGCTCCCTCACCAGCCGCTTGTGGCCTCGCTCCAAATAGCCCCAGTACCTGGGTCTCCTCAAACTCAGTGCCTGGGTTCTGGCCCCAGGGTGCCCAGATCCAACAAGTGGGCAGTCACATGTCCAATAAAGTCCATCCCAGATGCCACCACTCCTGTGTCCAGAGAGTCTCCAGAGGGGGGCATCGCGGTGAAATCAGGGACGCTGGGATTCCTCTCTCACAGTGGCTGATCGACTGCCAAGCACGGAGTAGGTGTTTTGTTGGAGCAGGGTTGGAGCTGGAACACTTAGGTCCCTGCTCTGGCCGTACTTTCCTGTGTGCTGTGTGATCTGCAAACAATGCATCTCCCTCTCTGACCTCAGACTGCGTCTGTGGACGAGAGAAGTGAGGATGGCACCTTGGGTTTGAATATGTAAAGTGTCGGCCTGAAATTGATTGTTTCGTGTTCAATTAAATTTTTTTTTTTTGGTAGAAACTAGAAACTGGGATTTTAAAACAAAGTCACCCAATTTTTATATGTTGGCTCCTAAGTAAAACAGGCCAACAATATGCAGGAGAACTTTCTGCTTTGGTAGAGGACATGTTCTTGATCTCCTCTGGCCCGGACTATAGCCATAGGCCACTTTAAGAATATTGAGCACTTGAAATGTGCAAGTGTGACTGAAAAACAGATTTTTCCATTTTGTTTCATTTTAAATTATCACTGGAGACTCTTGGCCCTCACATTGGGCAGCTGGGCTGTGTGGTAAGCAAATGGGCTCCAGACTGCCCAGGTACAAATGCAAGCCTTGCAACTTCATGGCTGTGTGATATTGGACAAGTTACTTTACCTCTCAGTGACTCAGTTTCCATAGCTGTAAAATAACCATTGCAGCTGTTTGACAGGATAGGCTTTGCGCTCTGTGTAAGGCATTTGATGGCAGCCGTGAACCTTAGGCAAGGTATTTACCTCTCTGCCTCATTTTTCTCATCTCTAAAATACAGGTGTACTATTTCCTTTTCGTAGTAGAGTGTGTGTGAGGAGTAAAAAGGGTGATCTTTATTCAGACTAAATCTATCACCTGTTGATCTGTCTGTCTGTCTAAAGGTAGGCTTGTTACCAGGCTATACCGGCTGCTCACGGATTTAAATACCCTGGTGGACCTGTTTGATTTGAACCATCTTCTCCCCAAGCACACCTGCTGTCCTGGCCAGCGTCTTGTATTAGTACCAGTGAAATATTTAAAAACAGAAACAAGAAGCCGTCTCTGCTCTTTGCTAGACTTATTAAAATGTATTTCAAACTGTGCACCACCATAAACCTCTGAACTCTAGATTTTCTAAATGGTTCACAGGTGTCTACAAAGAATAATAAAAAGTTACGCCTTCCCTCCATCCCTGGGTGTGGGAGAAGGGGGTGTCCTTCATAGAATGTATTCTCCAGGAGTCCATCTTCCTCTCGGCCTTAGGGGTGACCCCTGACCTCCCTGTTGAATATTGTAATCTTGACTCCCAGTACACCCCATCCCTCTTTACTTTGACTCATTCCCCGTTATTTCACTTACTCCTTCTTTCCAATATGGAAATACCAGGAGGCAGTTTTGTCTTTTTTGTTGCGGCTGGTGCTCAGTAAACTGAACCCACTGCTGTTGAGTTGATTCCAACTCCTTAAGTGCTATGGAGTTGGTTTCAGGTGGCTGGTGAATTTGAACTGCCAACTTTGTGGTTCTAACCAACCTTGCAGTTCAGTGCTTTATCCCACAGACAGCATACCAGGACTCCATAGATAAGGTTCCAAAACTAAGTATTTATGGAAACCACCTCACCTTTTATCCTAAGAAGTGGCTGGTGGGTTTGAACTACCAACCTTGCAGTTAGCAGTCCAGTGCTTATCCCTTAGTGCTATGTTGGTGATTACTAGGCACATCTTAAGTATCTGGGGTAAGGGTGTTCCAGGTGGCGGAACAGCTAGTGCAATGGCCCTTGGGAGCCAAGGGCATGGTCCAAGGAACATGAAAGGCCCATGTGGCTAGAGCAGTGAGCGTGGAGGAACATGGAGTTGACATAAGAGGTGACGGGAGCACATCACATGCATGGGCTTCCTGGGTTGCAGCGAGGACTTTGTCTTTTACCTGGCGGGAGATGGAGCTAGGTCCTAAGCAGAAGGAATGTTTCCTCATTCAGGGGCAAGAGGTAATGAGGCTGCCGTATGTCCAGGCTGGAGATGATGAACTGGACTCTGGTGGGGACCTGGGGATCTGGGAGGAGGCCCATTTCCAGGGATTTGTATAAATGATCACAAGAGTTCTTTATGGAACATGCATGTTGGTTGGCATGTGATACAGTTAAGTTCCATTTTATTTCAAAGACCTCCTGAGTAGCTCAGAAGATGCTTGGAAATCCCTTGAGGTACACTTCACACCCAGAGTTAAGCAACCTTGTGAGGCACTTAAATGTTTGCCACAAGTACTGTTTTTAGCGTCTAATCCTGAGATACATCTCACCTGGGTATCCACGCTGTCATTCAGATGAGGGGTTTGCCTCCAGTAGCTGGTTCTAAGAGTTGCCCAGATTCTTGGGGAGAGCAGTGGCGCTAGAGGGTAAGCACTGAATTATAAATCACAAAGTCAGTAGTTCAAATTCACTGCATGAGAAAAGTGGGGGCTTTCTGCTCCTGCAAAGATTAACAGCCTCAGAAACCCTATTCAGGGTCACTGTGAGTTAGAACAACCAACTCAACAGTACTTAGCAATAGTGAGGTGCTTATTTGGCCACCTACCACAGTGCAAGGGAGCTCTGGTAGCGTAGTGGTTACGACTCGGCTGTGAACCGCAAGGTCAGCAGTTCGAAACTACCAGCTGCTCCGCGGGAGAAAGATGAGGCTTTCTACTCCCGTAAAGATTTACACCCTCGGAAACCCTGTACAGGGTCGCTATGAGTCGGTTCCGACTCCACGGCACACAACAACAACAACAACCACAGTGCAAAAGAAGAAACGGATCTGTGTTGGAAGAAATGCAGCCAGAGTGCTCCTTGGAGGCCAGGATGGCCAAACTTAGTCTCACATATTTCGGACATATTGTCAGGAGGGACCAGTCACTGGAGAAGGATATCATGTTTGGTAAGGTGGAGGGTCAGAGAAAAAGAGGAAGATCCCCAGCGAGATGGATTGGCCAAGTGGCAGCATCAATGAGCTCAAGCATGGCAACAGTAGTGAGATTGGCCCAGGACTGGGCAGTGTTTTGTTCTGTTGTGCACAGGATCGTTATGAGTCGGTACCCACTAGATGGCACCTAACAACAGTGCAGATTCCATTTTGCCTTCCAATAACTTTTACCCCACCAGCGGCTCCTTGGAAACCCTGTATTGGGTTGTCATGAGTCAGAACTGACTCGATTACACTTAACTTTCATATATGATATCTGACTGCATCTTTTGAGACCACAGAACTGAGTGGAGTTAGATGGAGAGGCTGTTTTAGAAGGTTTGGGTTCCTCTGAGGACCTTAGTCCTTGCAAGAATACAGGTTAGAGCTCCCAGCAGGTGTCTGATCCCCTTGGGGGAGAGGGCTTCCTAGAGGAGATAAAGTCTGGGGAAACAAGAATGAAAAGAATAGCGAATAGGGAGAGAGTTTATGTGGAGGAGTACTGGGTTTCCCCACTAAACCAGGATCCTCTGGATTAAGAGACAGCTCCAGATTGGTACACACTTTTGAAACCTCTACTTGAAAAATTATTAGCACTTGTATGTGATTCCACTAGTCAATGCTTCATTGATCCCCTGATTTTACTCCTCCAAAAGAAAAAGGTCTATAAATTAGACCTTTATTTCCCACCTATAATAAGCTAATTTTTTAAATTCTAGAAATGAATGCTTTTACTTCACGGAGTGATTATGACTAGAGGGACGGGGCATCTGCTCCTAAACTCGATTTCTTTGCTCTTGGCACAGGAATACTAAGGGACTTCTGGTAGGTCTAAGGGGTGTCCCTCCTCCATCCTGGGTTGGGAAAGCGGGCCCCTGCTATGCGAGGAGGGAATTTCCTGCCCATTTGCTCTTCACACCTTCCGGAGGCCAAACGGACCGACCAGCTGCGACCCGGAGGGGGAGGGGGGCGGCCGCCCGGCAGATGGCGACATTTACATACAGCTGGGAGCCCCCTTTTGAGGCAGGGGCTCCTCGGCCCTGGCGTCTGTCGCGGCATCACGGCCACAGAGTTAGGAGAGTGGCTTTGTCTTGGGGGAAAACGCACGCGAGCGCACCCATACAAGTCCACACACGGCTACACACATAAGACCTCCCACCACGTCCACACACACCCTCGGCCCTTCACGCACTGCCCCTAACGCACACACACACACCGAGAAGCACAAACCACAAAATCACAGGTTCAGTCGACGAACACAACGAAGCATCCACACACAACAGAACCAAGGACATTGTGGACAGCCACCCTCCCCCCCAACTCACACACACACACACACACACACACACACACACACACACAAGCGCAAAGCGATTTAAAACCTCAGGAAGGGGCTTGACCACCAACCAATTCCAGGCACACACTGAGCCACACAATTTCAGACATCCAATCACGAAGTCACGCACAGTCCCCCGGTAGCTCTGGCCCGCACTACACGCGCGCACACACAATCTGGAAACCATTAACAATCTCATACACAGGCTTAATTAACCCTTGGGCCCGAGCTACACACAACGTCGCATCCACAACCGCACACACTCACGACGTCGCCCGTGCCCACACAACCTAAAGGCTGCTCCCGTAAGGACCTCCATTCCTGCGACCCCCCCCTCTCCCCGAGTCCCCCGGAGGGCGGGGCCGTCCCCTCGGATATAAGGCTCCAGAGCCAGCAGCTGCGACTCTAGAGACCCCTGAAAGGCCATGGTCGTCCCGCGGAAGCCCCGGCTCCTATTCCGGACTATGTTCCTGGCGCTCTTTTTCCTCCCCCAGGTCAGAGACCCGCGGGAGATGAAGAGGGACGGGAGGGTTACAAGGTGGGGGGCGGAGGACGACCTGGGGATAATGGGGAGGGGACGCAGGGCGGACAGGATGCTTTAGCCCCTGCGGCCCCCTCACCCTGTACCCCTTTCTGCCCTAGGCACGACCGGCCGGCGTCTTCGAACTGCAGATCCATTCTTTCCGGCCGGGTCCTGGACCTGGCGCTCCGCCGTCGCCTTGTGGCGCCCAGGACCCTTGCCGCCTCTTCTTCCGGGTCTGCCTGAAGCCGGGGGTCTCAGAGCAAACTGCAGAGTCCCCGTGCGCCCTGGGCGCTGCACTGAGTGCTCGCGGACCGGTTTACACCCGGCAGACGGGAGCACCTACGTCTGACCTGCCGCTGCCCGACGGCCTCATGCGCATTCCCTTCCGTGACTCCTGGCCGGTGAGACCTGGGCCCCGGGTGTCCCAGGTGCTGGGGCCTAGCCCTTCACCCAAATCCCCTCCTCCAGACCCCTCCTCTCCAGCTTCCAAGATCCCTTGGGATCTCAAATTCTCAGATTAGTAACTCTACTATGTATTCCTAGACCCCTAAACCCCACTCACTGGCTACACTAAATGTTCTGACCCCACTCTGCAGGCTGAGGGCTCCAAATTCCCAGAACTCCAAACTCATTTTATGGAAAGGTTGTATTTGCAGAATTCTGTCTGCTTGTTGTTGTTAAGTGCCGTCGAGGTCGAGTCGGTTCTGACCCACAGCGACCCTGTATAGGGTTTCCAAGGAGCTGCTAGTGAGCTTGAACTGCCGACCTTGCAGTTAAAACAGTTTTGCAGTCTTGTGCATTAAGCCACAGTGCCACCTCAAGTACTGGGATCCTCAGTTTCTTTGCACCTAGGAACCTTCCCATTCTGTGTTTGTTGTTGTTAAGTGCCGTCGAAGCGGTTCCGACCCATAGCGACTCTGTATAGGGTTTCTGAAGAGCTGCTGGTGAGCTTGAACCGCTGACCTTGCAGTTCAAACGGCTTTGCGGTCTGGAGCATTAACCCACAGAGCCACCCCAGGACTGCCATTCTCACTTTATCCTTCCTCAATTCTTCCAAGTAGGGCCCCTATTCCTGATCCCTTCATCTCCAAAATCCTATGGCCCATTCCCACAATCCCAAAAGCACAGTAGTGAACAGTCCTGTATTTGAATTCTAGACTCAGCCTTAGTTTCCTCATCTGTAAAATGGGATTATCAAGGTACCTCACAAGTCTCCCTTGTGAGGAATTCAACCTGGTATCTTGAATAAAGTGCTTAGCACAGGGTAAGTACTCAATAAAAAAAGCCAAACATGCTATTCCTTCCCTAGGCCAGTCCCTCTGGGAGTTATCTTCTGTCTGCCTGCTCCCCAGAATTGACCATGATTTCACCTAAGGTCAGCGGTTCGAAACTACCAGCTGTTCTGCTGGAGAAAGATAAGGCTTTCTACTCCTGTAAAGATTTACACCTTCGGAAACCCTGTACAGGGTCGCTATGGGTCGGAACCGACTCGACAGCACTTAACGACGAATGATGACTCTGGTCTTCACTGAGTCCTTCCTTGCCTTGACCAATGTTTTTTATTCCTTCCTTTCTCCCTCCTGCAACCCAACCAGGGTACCTTCTCGCTCATCATTGAAACCTGGAGGGAGGAGTTAGGAGAACAGATTGGAGGTGAGTGTCTTCAGTCTTGGGGTAGAGAGAGTTGTAGCCTGATGTAAAAGTCCAGGGGAGTGACCTGATGCTGCAGAATGGGACCTTCACAGAATCCCTGGTCCTGTGGTGTCATCACACTTCCTGGAGTATGGAGCTGTGGATCTTGGGACTGGATACGGAGTCCATGGTCCTGGAAGCCACTAAAAGCAAGAGACAGCATTTCACAGCCCTGCTCCTGCCTGCGTCATGATTTTGAGAACCAAAGTGCAATAGGAGTTACTTCTGATTCTTCTTTGTCACCCTCTCTACATAGAGGTCTCATGAACTCTAAGGAATGTTGTGGGCTCGCCAGGGAGAATTTTGAATGAGAGTTTTGAAGAGAGATATGACGTATTCTTATACTACTTTGGGGAAGAAGTGTTGGCTCTATGTAATTTTGAAAATGGCACAGGACCGGATAAGTTTTTGTTCTGTTATACATAAGGTTGTTATAAGTTGAAACAGACTCCCCAGCATCTAAGGGAGGCCTGGAAGGGGGTGGGGGCTGGTGGGCATTTTGATATAGAAAACTCTTGCAGCCCGTTGTTGGGGTGTGTCTTAATTATCTAGTGCTAAAATATAGCAGAAATAAAGCAAATGGATGGCTTGAACAAGTGGAAATTTATTTTCCTCACAGTTTAGCTGGCTAGACATCTGACGTCAGGATGTCAGTTCTCAGGGAAGGCCCTTGTCTCTTTGAGTTTCTGCTGGGTAGTGTTCATGTGGCCAAGTGTCTTTCTTCCGCCATACCTGTTTGCTAGCGTTCATTTCATCTCTTTTATTTATATCTCAAAAGAGATGGACTCAAGATTGCATCCTACACCAGTCCTGCCTAATGAACATAAAAAAGACAACCCATTCCAAAATGGGGTTATAACCACAGACATCGGATCAATTCCAACTCTTAGTGACCTTCTACAGGACTTTTGAGACTAAATCTTTATGGAAGCAGCCAGCCTCATCTTTCTCCTTGGGAGTGGTTGGTGGGTTTGAACCACTGACCTTGTGGTTCTCAGAGCAACACCTAACCCACAATGCCGTTAGCACTCCTCAACCACAGGCATAGAGATTAGAATTCACAACACATATTTTTAGGGGGCACAATCTAATCCATACCAGGCTGTAACAGCTTTGCTGAGGGCAAAGTGGACTCTCCTAAGGTCACAAGGTATGATATGAGTAACTTATGGCCTAGTCATTGGTCGCTATTTTGATGTTGGAAGATTCTGAGGTACAATATGGGAAGATCTGCTTTTGTCACTTTGCCATATGGACTATCCAGTGTCACAGGGTGATATGGTGGTAGTGGTGGTGTGTCGTGGAGTCTGTTCCGACTCATAGCGACCCTGTAACAGGGTTTCCGAGGCTGTAAATCTTTACGGGAGCAGAAAGCCTCATCTTTCTCCAGTGGAACAGCTGGTAGTTTCGAACTACTGATCCTGAGGTTCGCAGCCTGATTTGTAACAACTACACTACCAGAGCACCTATAGGGGATAATTTATGGCCTAGTAATTACTTTGTAATATCAAGGGATTTAAGGGCAAAATATGGTGTCATTATACCTTTTGTAGGAATCTCTCCATGGTATCCGGTCCTGCTATATTTGAGCCCATGAGGTGGGTCGTTTGAAACCCCTAGAGGTACCTCCTGGGTTCAACTATAGGAACGATTGTGAAGATGGGGTAGTACCAGGCAGTGTTTCTTCTGTGCATAGTGTTCTCTGAGTTGGAACCTACCTCAGAGGCAGCTCAGAAACCAGGCTTGGTGATCTGCTTTGGAAAGGTCACAACTTTCAAGAGCTTACGGAGTTGTTCTCTGTATACATGGGATCGCTGTGAGTCAGAATAGACTATAGGCAACTAGCACACAAGGCTTTCGTGGGAGAATTATTGTCATCGTAGTCAGGGGGAACGACTTGAGATTGCAGTATCAAAGTTCCCAGGAAGGTTATAGCTTTGCTAAGTGGGTAACTGTCGCTATGGCAGTATCAAAGGATCTCAGGCTGGATACAAATTGTTTTGGCGTGCTATAGGGTCTCTAAGAAAATTAACTGAAGGGCAACGGTTTAATATTTGGTTAACAGAGGTTGGAGACTGCAAGTCAGTGCGGGTTAGTCTCTAAGGAGAGTAGAGTTTCACCGCGGGCCGACCAGCGCCTCTCTCTTGTCCCTGCAGGACCAGGCTGGAGCTTGCTGTCGCGCGTGAACAGGCGGTGGCGTCTGGAAGCCGGGAGCCCGTGGACACGTGATGTGCAGCGCGCAGGTGGCTGGGAGCTGCGCTTCTCCTACCGCGCGCGTTGCGAACCGCCCGCCGTCGGGGCTGCTTGCACGCGCCTCTGCCGTTCGCGCAGCGCCCCCTCGCGGTGCGGCCCGGGACAGCGCCCCTGCGCTTCCGTGGAGGATGAATGCGCAGCGCCGCGTGAGTCCTCCGTTCAATACCATCCTATCCTGCCGGGGACCCCAGCCCCTCCTTTGTTACTTTCATCCCCCTACCCAGTTACCAGTACTCCAGATACCCTTCTCCAGGGAAGTGGGGACTCCCTTGTTCCCAGATCCCGCCCAGTTCTACTCACGGTCTTCAGCCCCCTCTCAAGATTCAGCTACTGGCTACCACTTTTGGGAAAACTGAGGACCTTAGATCTCTCATTAGGCCTGCCTCAGTACCTCAGACCCCTTCCCTCTTTCCAGTACTCTTACCAACCCCACATAGGAACCATACGCCTATTTCCCATACCCATACTCCTTCTAGATAGACCCCATAGACTTCTCATTCTGAGGCCTCCCAACTTCCACGTAGGAGTTTAGAAACTTCTAAACTCTCCAAGGGGTCCTCCATCCTCCCTGCCTACGATTGTGATCAGATCCCCTTCCTTTTTAAAACCACGGATCCCTCAACTTACCCTGGATTCTCTCAGATCTCTCCCTACATGGCAAGACCCACTGAGGCTCCTAAGGCCCCCAGACTGATTCAGAAGAGACAGGAGCCCTCCCGGGTCATAAATCCCTCTTCCCCGATGCTCTTCTTCAAACCCAGACCTGGGGCCCTCCATCCCCATCCCCTTCCCAAGAGCTCTGGAATCCAATGGCCTAGGTTCAAATCCTTGCTCCTCTACTTCCTAGCTAGGTGAGTCATCTCACCACTCTGGACCTCAGTCACTGAGGGCATAAGCTACTATCTAGTGCAGACAGTTGTCACAAGGATGCAACAAGGTAGAGCATGAAAAACACTCAGAAGCCTTCCTCATTCCATCCCTCTACCTCACACTCTTCCTTCTGCCTCTGTGTCCCTCCTAGTGACCTGTCGAGCAGGCTGCAGCCCAGAGCATGGCTTCTGTGAGCAGCCGGATGAATGTCAATGCCTGGAGGGATGGTCTGGGCCCCTCTGCAAAGTCCCAGTCTCCACCAGCAGCTGCCTCAACCCCAGGGACCCATCCTCTGCCACCGCTGGATGTCTCATTACTGGGCCCGGGCCCTGTGATGGCAACCCATGTCTCAACGGGGGCAGTTGCAGTGTTAGTATTGCCCCACCCCTACCCTGGGAGTTTCACCTCCCTCTTTCTGGGGTGTGTTTTAGACACCTACTGGGCTGGAGCACTCAGGCCAGCTGTCAGGGAGGGCTTCCTGGAAGTGTCCAGCCTGCACCCGGGGCCTTGAAGTTGGATTAGGGGGTGGGCAGAGCCAGCAAGTGGTAGGGGATGGTGGGACCAGGTGGAATAGGGATTTGGGATATGAGGGGAAGGGGTAGACATGAAAGGAAGCTCTCTGGAGGAGGTAGGGGGCACAGAGCTGGGGCTTTTGATGTTCGATTTGGTGGAGGGGCACACCGTGTGAGAGGGTGGACTGAGTGAGCAGCATTGGGTGAGCAGAGGTGGAGATGGGAATGAACTTGGTGTGGATTGGGATAAGGGAGAGGCCAGCGTGGGTCACCTGGAATCACCTGGACAGTGACAAACACTCAAATTGTGGGGACTGGGGAGCAGAAGACAAGAGAAAGTTAGGAAGACAAACTCGGGAAGGGAAGGGCAGACCAAACAGACTATGTGGTAGACAAAAGTGTAGAGGTGGGAAGTGGATGTTTAGGGGGCTCTTCCAGGTGGGGTAACATGAGTAGAGACAGAAACACAAAGTGGAGTGTTGTTTGGGAGGGTTTCTCAATGAGGCTGGAAAGGGAGCCAACCCCAGTGGTGGAGACTCTGAGGAGGGAGGGCCATGGGACTTTGCTCCAAGGAGCCCACCTGCCCAACACTTCATTTCCCTGTCCAGGAAACACCAGGCTCCTTCGAGTGCGCTTGTCCCCGCGGGTTCTACGGCCTGCGATGTGAAGTAAGCGGGGTGACATGTGAGGACGGACCCTGCTTCAACGGTGGCTTGTGTGTAGGGGGCGTAGACCCCAACTCTGCCTACGTCTGCCACTGCCCTCCGGGCTTCCAGGGCTCCAATTGTGAGAAGAGAGTGGACAGGTGCAGCCTGCAGCCATGCCGGAATGGTGAGGCTGGGGACCAGAGCCGTGAGGGATGGGGTGGGACCGGGTCCCTGGGCAAGAAGAACCCGTGTAGTTCTGGAATTGTTGAAGCTGAAGAAAAAAAGACAGAGAGAAAGAGAAACAGAGCCAAAAAGACAAGGCTGGGCTAACGCAAGGTGTCACTAGGGACAGAAGGAAGTGGCTGCCTGTGTAGATAGACACACAGCCCGGTCAACTCCAAGAGGCCAGCCCGTAAGATCCAGGGTGATCAGTGAGGGCTGGGGTTACAGACTGGAGACAAAGGGGAAGGGGCCAGCTGGCTTGGGAGGCTGTCCATTCGCGCCTGCGCACTGACGCCCCCTTTCTCACAGGAGGGCTGTGCCTGGACCTGGGCTATGCTCTGCGCTGCCGCTGCCGCGCAGGCTTCGCAGGCCCGCGTTGCGAGCACGACCTGGACGACTGTGCCGGCCGCGCCTGCGCCAACGGCGGCACGTGCCTGGAGGGCCGGGGCGCGCGGCGCTGTTCCTGCGCGCTGGGCTTCGGTGGTCGCGACTGCCGCGAGCGCGCCGACCCGTGCGCCACGCGCCCCTGCGCTCACGGCGGCCGCTGCTATGCCCACTTCTCCGGGCTCGTCTGCGCCTGCGCGCCCGGTTACATGGGCGCGCGCTGCGAGTTCCCAGTTCACCCCGACGGCGCGGACGATGATGTAGGTGCATTGCCTGCCACCCCCTTGAGCCCGAGGCTGGGGGACACCCAGCGCTTCCTGGCACTGCCGGTTTTGGGAATGCTGGTCGCCCTGGGCTTGGCGGGTGCTGCAGTCTTGTTAGTTCACTTGCGACGCCGTGGTCCTAGCCGGGATACTGGGTCTCGCCTGTTGGCTGGGACTCCGGAGCCACCGATCCACGCACTCCCAGATGCGCTCAATAATATGCGGACGCGAGAAGATTCAGAGGAAGGTCTGAGGTGAGGGGCCGGGCTATTGGCTGCTTGCATCGATCTTCCTGGTCCTCGGTGTCGTCAAGTTTCCCTCCATTGTTGATAAGTGCCGTGGAGGCGGTTGCGAATCTGTGTAGCGACCCTGTATAGGGTTTCCCAGGAGCGGTTGGTGGGTTTGAACTGCCCTTGTGCTTATCCTCCAGTGCCACACCAGGACTCTTTGATGGGTGGGAAAAACAAAACCTGAGAATTCAAGGGTTTGCATCTTTCCTTTGTCTTCCTTTCCAGCCCATCTGCGGATTGGAGTCGCCCGGAAGATGGAGAGTCTCGAGCGGTTTATGTCATATCTGCTTCTTCGATTTACGCTCAGGAGGTAGCCGCATGCCTCTACGTCCTTGCACCATTGGGCACACTAGGTGGAGACAGCCCCGTTTTATCTCTAAACTTCCTTTTCCCTATGTGTAAAACGGAAACCTCTGGAAGGTTCATAAGCCCACATTTTTCAGGTCTGACTAATTTAAGTCTATCCTACATCCCACTTGCTGTCGTTTTGAGCTGCTGGCCATCTTCTTTTTGAAAGACCTGTGACTTTTCAAGAGGTTACAGTGGGGTTCTGGCTAATTTCCACGCACTGGGGAGGGGGAGAGGAAGCCTAGGCAGTCCTTTCTAACATCTTCTCATTTTGTTTCTAGGCCTGACCTGAGCCTTTGCCATCATTGCCTGGAGACGGAGCCTGGATATTTTTGTATTTACTCGCTGGTGCCCAGCATCTGCCCAGACACTTCTGAATTCGAACCAGAAAGGGGTAGCTGGGAGAACGTCACTGTTGGAAATTGTACATAGTGGTTATTTATATCGTATTATTTTTCACTCCCCATGGTTCCAGAGACATCTATAAAGGCTCTTATTTTGATCAACTAAAATTTGCCAGTCTGATTTCTTGGTATTTGGTGTTGGGGCTAAGGGGAGAGATTTTGTGTCCTTAGAAAAATTGTAGATAAGACTCTTAGCTGTTGCAGGGGAAAGAAACATCTGAAACTAGTTGACAAAAAAAAAAAGAGAAAAAGTGAGATCCTGTGGTAGGTGTAGGACTGGATTTTCTGATTCTGTTTCTTTCTCAAGTTGGCTGTTTCTCCCTGGGATGATTTCATACGGAGACAAGCTCTCATTGGCCCTGGTTTGTCACATGGTCATGCCTGAACACTAGTACCCAGGGAATATGACAAACTTTTTAATTTTCTTTTTAAACTTTATTGTGAATTGAGTGAAGGTTTACAGAGGGGATCATCAGTTTTACATTCAACAAATCATACACTTTGTTTCATCTCAATGACTATTAATTCCCTTAATGGTAACATCACATTCCATTTCCTCTGTGTCTTGTTTCTCCTGTTATGAATGTTACCCTCGGGTAAATGCTGCCCTCTGATCTTCAATGGTTGAACATTCTATGGTGTGTGAACTTCATTAGTGTTGTTGTCCCCTCTCTGACCCATTTATTACTTGCCTGAAAATGGACCCACAGGGATGAGTTTGGTTCTAGACCTGAAGTGTATCTGTGACCAAAGGTCACAGCAATCTCTGGCTGGTAAACCTGGTCTTTTTAATGATTTTTAATTTTGTTCCGTATCTTTTCCCATTCTATCCAGGACCTTCTAATGTGATCCCTTTCAGAGCCGTTGGTAGTGGTAGGTGGGCATCAGCTAATTCTCTGGTCTCAACGGCCATGGAGACTGATGTTCACGTGGTCCTTTAGTTCACTGGATTAATTGTTTCCAAGTGTCTCTTCAATTTTCATCCCTCTTCTTTCCTCTGAAGAAAGAGAGACCAGTAGTTGCACCTTAGATGGCTACTCGTGAGCTTTTAAGACCCCAGTCACTACTCATAGCTTACTCCTGTTTGGCCAGGCTTAGTCATGTGCCCACTGTATTAGGAACGGTCAGCCTGTTCAAAAGCTATGGAATAGTATGACAAGGAGAAGTTTCCCACCTTCACTCCCATAAAAATTGTGTTTCTTACAAGGAGTCCCTCAGTGATGCAAACACTTAATCCCTTGGCTGTGAAATGAAAGGTGAGTGGTTCAAATTCATCCAGTGGTACCTTAGAAGAAAGACCTGGCAATTTCTAGCTACTTCTGTAAGAATGGTGGTGGTGGTGGTTATGTGCCGTGGAGTTGGTTCCGACTCATAGCGACTCTGTAACAGGGTTTCTGAGGCTGTAAATCTTTACAGGAGCAGAGAGCCTCATCTTTCTCCAGCGGAACAGCTGTTAGTTTTGAACTACTGATCTTGCGGTTAGCAGCCCGAGTTGTAACCAGTACGCTGCCAGAGCTCCTTGTGAGAAATTTCAAGATGCCACTGTTGGTCATTGTGATGTAACTCAGGATTTAATTTTTGTCCTATTTCCTTTTTAGTCTGCCTGT